TTAAAGTGGAGAGAACAGGTAGACAGGTGACCAGTCTTAAATTTTAATATTGTCAGTAAAATTTATCTGAGAAATTGGAGGTATTAACTCCTGTTTTTCAATAGTTAAGAGTATAGACAATATTTGTATAGGATGAGCATACTTAGATTTTGAATGTTACCCTTGTTTGGTGCTGCATGTCCTATCATCCTAGAAGCTCATACTATAATCTACAATCAGGAATCAGGAAAAATACACTATAATTATTAGTGTTTTGCGAATCTCAAACTTGACTACAAGCACAGATATTCACTAAAATTCCAAACCTCTAACTAATCATCAATCTGTCCACCAATGGGACCAAGTTTCAAAAAGTCTATTGGGCCATTCTCAAATGACACACCACTACAATTATTTTCCAATCTAATACCTTAGGCAAAATAAAAAACCGAAGAATAAACAAAACCAACCATATAAACAAAAAACCAAAACAGACATTATTGCACATATTGTAATGATTTCATCCTTCATATAGTAAAATATTGGGAGTTAAATTAAACTTCTGCAGGCCTAACAGTGTGTCTTTCCACATTAAAATACTGCATTTGTTAGTTAAGTCTCCCCTATGACAAACATATTATCATTTACTCATTTGTACTCGTTTGGAAGTGTGGATGTGACTATCAGAGGACCTCTTTCAGGAAATGGTTCTTTGTTGCCACCATGTAAGATCCAGGAAGGTAAATGAAATAATAGTCACCTTTCTGACAATAAAATATTACTAGCTGATGCATCTCATGGTCCACTTACATTCACCTTTCATTCCTCCCAATTGACCTACACATTTACGTCATGCACCTGCACACAAAAATAAATGTATAAAATTAAATCATGTGTTTATCTCTTCTGTTTACCTTCTCTAATATCTCACTAAGTGCCTTGACTTTTACGTGCTAATTATGCTTTAATCGTTTAAAAAATTTTTAGGTTATAATATAATTACAACATTCCTTTTCTCCCTTCAAACCATCCCATATGCCCCTCCCCCTCGCCATCATGGCCTTTTTTTTTCTTTTTACTAATTGTTAGTGCATTGTGCTAATTATTTTTAACACTTTATTCAAAAGGATCTGAAGCAGCTCATTTTTATTATTATATTTTTCAGTTATGAGATCACATACTTTTCCGTCATTTGATATTTGTTTAACTGCGTTTTGGCTGCTTGTGGATTTGACTACGGTGGGACCTATAGCATCTATCACACCAGTGAGGTCCTTCTCACTTCTTCCCCTTCCCAGACAGAACAGAGGTTAGTCTCTGTCCTCAGAGATTGTCCTCCTTCTTAGTAAAATAAGAAAACAAATGGGGTTATGGACATAGCTGGGTCTGTGAAGAGCTCACCATGCAAGCCCAGGGACCTCAGCTCTTAGCACCCACATGAGAATCCGGGTGCTGGGGTGTGGTGATGTGTGTCTGTGCTCACAGGGCTAGGGAGATGGAGACAAGAGGGTCCCTGGGGATGGCAGGCCAGCCACTCTAGCTCAATCAATGAGCTCCCAGGTCATGAGACCTTGTCTCAAGGGTTGAGGTGGAGGGTAATAGAAGACTCCCTGCATCAGCCTCTGACCTCCACACACATATGCACACACTAACACACATGAATTTCCTCTGCTATATATAAAATAAAATAATCTCAACACTCAGGAGATGAACCAAGAGAACCTTGAGTTTGAGACCAGCCTGGGCTACATAGTGAGATTTTGTATTTAAAAAAAGTATAGGCTGGGTGGTGGCAGCAAACACCTTTAATCCTAGGAGGCAGAGGCAGGCGGATCTCTGAGTTCAAGGCCAGAGTAAGTCCCAGGATAGCCAGGACTACTACACAGAGAAACCCTGTCTCAAAAAACAAAACAAAACAAAAGCATAAAATAAAAGCCAGAAGTCCCCTTTTCCTTTCCCATAAACTTTCCAAAGCTGAAACAACTGATAGTAATATGCCGCCCATCTTCCCAGTTTTTCTTATGTTTATTCAAATAGAGACCCAAGAGGAGATTTATTTTTAACCTCTGCATGACCATCCAACTATCCTTCATTTATCAACTTGTCAGGTGCCTGAATCTTGTTTTTCAGCGACTGCAGGCTTTCCGTAGTCTGTATTGACCATGGCTTGCACAGTAACTCCCACAGCTGAGACGTTGATAGGCTGTTTTATGATTGTTTTCTTAACCATGAAAAACATTGCCACGGTGGCAAACTGGTTAGAGGTAGCTTTAGCCTCTATTTCTGTAGAATCGATTTCCATTGCTGAATCATATGGTAAGCTCATTTAAAATCTTAAGACACTCTGCCAACTGCTATTAAAATGGCCCTGCCCTGGAGCTTAGCAGTCAGAGGAAACAGAGTCCACCCTCCGCACAGGGTGACCTTGATGGCTCAGGGTTTTCATTTTGTAAAATGACCGTCCGTGGTGTGAGCATTTTCCAATATGTTGATGGGTTTTCTGGGTTGCATTTTCCTTTTTGTGAATTATACTATCATTTGTTCAATTTTACATTGTTTTCTTTTTTTTAATTGAGCTGTTGGACTCTATTGCCGCTCACACTGCAAATGTTTTCTCAGTCTGTTTGTTTTTTACATTTTTATCATATACAACAATTTTGAAATTTAAATATATTCTGATCATATTCTTCCTCTCCCCCAACTCCTTCCAGATTCTTTCTGCCTCCCTTCCCACCCAACTTTAAGTTCTTTCTCAGAAAAAAAATCAATATAAAATGAAACCCCCAAAACCTGGAACACAAAATACATTGATATTCAAAAAGAAAAAGCAAACAAGCAAAAACCAAACACCAAACCATAACCAAATGAAAGCACCCAAAAATACAGTGGCGTCCATTATTTGTCGGTCAATTGTCCCTGAACATGAGACCTTCCCCTGGAGTGTCGATATAGTCAGTGTCAGTCCACTGGAAAAACTTGATTTTCCCTCTCCCAGCAGATATAAATGACAGTTTAGTTGTTAACCTTTACCCTAGTGGCTAGGTTTTCACTCATTTATTCATTCATTAAAAAAAAAAAATAAACAACGCGGGGCATCGGTGGCGCATGCGTTTAATCCCAGCACTCCGCAGGCAGAGGCAGGTGAATCTCTGCGAGTTCCAGGCCAGTCTGGTCTACAGAGTGAGTTCCAGGACAGTCTGCAAAGCAATACAGAGAAACCCTGTCTCGAAAAACCATTAATAAATAAATATAAAATACAAACGATAAAAAATCCTATCAGATCAAAGTTAAACAAGACAAACCTGAAACGTCCCTACACCCCTATAAATTTCTCTGCCGATGCAGCAATCCAAATCAGACCAAATCAAACCGAATTAGAAAAAGCCCACATTTAATGGCCTCTCAGCCCCCCCCCCCCAGAGAGGAGATGGGAGAGGGAGACCGGAAAGAGTCTATTCTGGGGGGGGGGGCACTTTAAATACCCTGTGGGAGTGGTCTTGAGTATCTCTGGGGGAGGAGCCATCATTTGGTGGGCTTTCTGAGATGCAGCAGGGTTTGGTGGGAGATGGGGGGGAGGGGAGATGGGGAAGAGGGGCTTGGGTGGAAACGCCACCGTAACAAAACCAACAGAGGGAAAAGAGCCCAAGAGAGGGCGGAAGAATCAGAGACCCACTCACCACACACTCAGGGGTGAAAACACTGAGCTGGAGGCCATCATGTGAGCACCTGGGGCAGACTCGTGCAGGGCCTGTGCGTGCTGCTTGCTTAGGTCTGAGTCCACGTGGGCTTTGCTCACGTTGGTTTAGAGGATTTCGTGTCTTCAGTGTCCTCCATGCCTTCTGTCTCTTTCTGCCACCTCTTTCCACGAGGTTTCCTGAGCTCTGAGGGGAAGAACCTGATGGAGACATCTCAATTAGGACCGAGTGTTTCAGGCTCTGCAGCTCTCTGTGTGATGTCTGGCTGTGGGTCTCTATACTTGTTCCCATCTGCTGCAGGAGGAAGCCTCTCAGATGATGGCCGAACAAAGTACCTATCTATGAGTATACAGAATGCCATTAAGAATGATTTTATCATTTTTTTGCATTTTTTTTTTTTTTAGACCAGTCTTCCTTGGTTTTACCCTAGGTCTCTGGGCTGTCTCAGGTTCTTAGCTACGGAGCAGTGTTGGATATGGGTTCCATCTCGTGGTCTGGGCCTTAAGTCAGATCAGTTATTGGCTGGTTACTCCTACAAGCTTTGCGTCACCGTTGCCCTAACATATGGTGCAGGGTGTGCACTGTAGACAAAGGTTTTGAGGCTGGCTTGGTGCTTACATTTCTCTTTTGATAACATGCAGAGTACCTTCCTGTTCCAAAGACCCTGGAACACAGAGGTGAAGGCCCTACGTAGGCATCAGCTCGGCCTCTTCATGTTCAATGAGTTATATAGGTGTTATCTTCAGCAATAGGGCTTTGCTGTCAGTTTATGGGGAACAACCTATGATCTTGGTAACAGCCTGGGTTTTTGGGAGTTCCCGTGGATCCCTTCTGGCCAACAACTCAATTAGACGTAACTCATTCCTGGTACTGGAAGCTTCATTTGATGACAAGAGATGGTCACTTGGGACTCTGTCTCCCCCATAATTTGGCAATGTCATTTAGATCACCTTCATATATGCATATATTTTAGAGAGTTTCCTCTGTGTTAGGTTTTCATACTACCCCTCAAGTGCCCCTCAGTTTTAGCCGTCTCTCCCCATATTCCCTCCCACAACTCCCTTTCTCTCCCCCATCACTTGATTCTCCCATTCCAGCTCTCTTCCACCCATCCACAAACGTCTATTCTGTTCCCTTTCCTAATGAGATCTTGTCTTTAATGTCAATCACACAAGTCTTACGGTTAGAGGAGGTGGGAAGCTTCTCAGCAGGTAAGAGCACTGGCTGGTCTTGCAGAGGACCCAGGCAGGTTCAGTTCCCGGCACCCACATGGCTGCTCATAGCCATCTGTAACCCAGTTCCAGGAGATCCAGCGCCCTCTTCTGGCCTCCATTGGCACCAGCTACGCGTGTGGTGCCCATTCACAGTGCCGGCAAACACTTATAAACATATTTAAAAATAAATAAGTGAGAACAAGGTTGGAACTGAAGCTGAAATCACAAAGTTTCTTCTTATGCAGCGTCTCTGTGAAGCACTTAGATGTGAACCTTGGGAGATTCCCAGAGGCAGCGCTGAGGGGACATAATTCGCTCAAATTGTTTTTGGAAAGCTCATTATGACCCACAGGTCTCAGTCCCCAAAGTTTACCTTCCCAGAGAAGCCTCTGATGGCTCAGGACAAAGCGGTGCCTCTGGCCAGCCCAGTCCATCTCCTCACGGCACGTTCACCCTCAGAAACTGTTCTGCCCAGCTTGACTTGCTAATCGTCCACCCCCCACACCTTCGCTGGCTGTGCACTTGGCCTCTGGAGTGACGCCTGGCACAGAGCGGCCAGTCCACAAATGGTTCCCAAATCGAAGTCAAATGAGGGCTGAGTTTCAGACTCCATCTTCATAAGATTTTGATAATGAAGTCAACTGAGGCCTGAAGGGTTTTAAACCTGTTTGGTTAAATAGGCTAAGCATCAGACGTACCTGTTAGTTTACCCTTTGAGACTCAGAACCTTGCCTGGTTACTATTACGGCTGAATTTCACAAACAGTGAGTTATGTTTTCTGAAAACACAGTGAAGACTTTGGCTGACGGTGGGTTGACTCCTCAGTAACGTGTTTATCTTTACACCTTCAGTCTTCCTGAGCAGCTGCCAGGGTTAGTCAACCATGCATTCACATCGTTATTTTTGTCATCCTGATTTTAAATTTTCTTTAACACAGTATGCTGTACACATCAAGTCTCGAGCACGATTTGTTTTGATTCTGTTGTGGAAACAAGTCCTTTGTTCCCTGGTTTCCGTTTCTAGTATTTCAAGATGCATTTGACTGAATTGTGTGTCCTGGAGTTTTGTGCTTCCAGCTTCCGGGATTTTTGTTGTTGCTGCTGGGAAGGTTTGTTGGGGCTCACAGTTCCAGAGGGTTAGAGGTCATGATCATCATGGCGGGGAACATGGTAGCCAGCAGGCCTGGTACTGCAACGCTCTTGTTTTTTGTTAGTTTGTTTTTTGTTTTTCGAGACAGGGTTCTTTGGGTTGTTTTGGAGGCTATCCTAGAACTCACTTTGTAGACCAGGCTGGCCTCTAACTCACAGAGATCCACCTGCCTCTGTCTCCCAAGTGCTGGAATTAAAGGCGTGTGCCACCAATGCCCAGTTGGTTTTTTGTTTGTTTTTTAAGACAGTCTCACATGTGTGGTTCTTCTCCTTCAATGTCCCAAATGCTGGGATTTACAGATGTGGGCTACTACTAATAAAAATTTTTTTGTTTGTGTGTATGCAAATGTTCATGAGTGTGTAGATTCAAGTATGCACACGCGCATGCGTGTGTGTGTGTGTGTGTGTGTGTGTGTGTGTGTGTGTGTGTGTGTGTTAGATGCTGCTTGCCTTCGTCCATCACTCCTCACCTGATTTTTTGGGGAAAGAGCCTCTCACTGAACATAGGATTTCCTGATTCTGCAAGACTAGCTGGCCAGCAAGCAACAGTCTGCACCTCCTGGTGTTAGGATCCCAGCCGCATGCAATCATACCTGGCTTTTCACATGTGTGCTTAGTGTGGGATCTGAACTCAGGACGTTCATGCTTATGCGTCAAGCACTTTGCCAGTTGGTAGTCACCTCCCCAGCTCCTGTTTGCACTTTTTCAGTGCGAATTTCTCACTCAGGGTTTCAAAGGTATAGCTGCTGTTATTAGTTTTCTGGACTTCATCTCTTTCTCTCTTTTCTGAACACAATTACATTTCCCAGAATGTTGTTTTTCCCCCCTCATTATCTGAACCAGGAGTAGATACTGCGTTTCATGAATAGCGGTCTCGTTGTCTTTTATTCCTTGGCAAAGATCCTCTAGAAGGTAGTTGGGCGTCTATTTTTTCTTTTCATTTATTTATGCATTCTCTGTGTGTGGTGTGGTAATTTCAATGAGATTAGCCCCTACAGGCTTGCATGTTTGCACGCCTGGTTCCCAGCTGGTGGGCTACTGTGAAGGATTCAGAGGCGTGGCCTTGTTGAGGTGTGTGTATCACTGGGATAGGCCTGATGCAGCTCTCAGCTACTTCTCCATGCCTGCTTACTTGCTGCCATGCTCCCTGCCAAGACGATAATGGACTATCTCATGAAACTGTAAGCAAGCCCCCAATTAAATGCTTCTTTTTGTAAGAGTTGCCTTGGACGCGATGCCTCTTCACAGCCATAGAACAGTGACTAAGACAATGAGTGTTTTACCTGCAAGAATGTCTGTGGAGTCCATGCAGGGCCCACAGAGAACAAAAAAAGGGGGTGGGTGTTGAACCATCTGGGACTGGAGTTACAGTTACAGAAATCTGTGAGTGTGAGTGCTGGGAATTGAACCCTGGTCCTCTCTGGAAGAATGTTCAGTGCTCTTAACCAGTGAGCAGTGCTCTTAACCAGTGAGTCTTCTCTCCAGCCTCTGTACATGTACTATAGCATATACCTGTTAAGTCATCTGTCCATGCATCCATTTCATACCTAAATTTGAGTTAGTATTTACGAATTAAAAACAAATTGAATAGAAAAGAAATGCCAGGAATGCTAGCTGCCTGAGGCAGGTATAAAGGTGATGATGTAATAATCTGTGTTGATGTCTAAATGAACACCTCCACTCCATGCCTCTGAGTTTGGGGGTGGACTGAACACCTCCACTCCATGCCTCTGAGTTTGGGGGTGGACTGAACACCTCCACTCCATGCCTCTGAGTTTGGGGGTGGACTGAACACCTCCACTCCATGCCTCTGAGTTTGGGGGTGGACTGAACACCTCCACTCTGAGTTTGGGGGTGGACTGAACACCTCCACTCCATGCCTCTGAGTTTGGGGGTGGGCTGAACACCTCCACTCCATTCCTCTGAGTTTGGGGGTGGGCTGATTTGGGTCTGAAACAGAAAAACCAGAAATGGCCCTGCTTCTCATAGACCCACAGGCATTCTTTCCTCTCCTGGACAAACTCTTGTGGCTTCCTGGTGGGGTTGGCCATGAGGAAGAGGGCTCTGATTACATTTTCTTCTAGGTTATTTTGCAACCTAACTTCTTCCCTTTCAGATTCCCCTACAGCCACCACCCCATCTGTGACCAGATTATTTCCCTACCAGTCCTGACACTTGCCCTCTTTTCCAGTTCCCTTTTGCAAGCCACGTCCTTCCACAGCACACATCCAACACCACTATTTGAGAGGGAGGCAAGTATAAAGTGTAAGAAATCAACCATGGAGCCATCTCTCTTTTTTCATAAAGAAATGCAACTTTATTATTTTCAAGTACATATGTAGTACCTCAAGCTAAAGTCTTACAGAGGGTCACCAGTAAGGATCTTGTAGATATTCCTTTACCAAATATATCAGGACTGATGATCATTAACCTATGCACTTGCCGATTCTAAAGGGAGACTTCTAAAGTGCCTGAAAAGCATACTTGGAGGCAGACTAAATATGCCACTCCTAGCAATACTGTTTATGCTCTTAATTTACTGACCAAGTAACTTCTTTATTGATCGTGCAAAGGTAAACTTTTGTTCAAAGCCAATGACCTCAAATTAATCAGGCCCAAATAAATATGGTGTCCTGTTTAGACTTCCAGCCCAAGGCCGTGACTTATGATAGAGCCAAGGTCCACTGCAATGAGACAGTAGCCCTTGGGGGTCTTTGGGCCTGGCCTAATGCTTGTCTTGTCCTCCATGGCTCCACCCTAGGCCTTCCAATTTTCTTGCAGTCTTTCTCGATTGCTTGCCTCACTCATCTAGGTCCAGCTATCCCATGCTTTCTAGGCCAGGCTGAGAGAATGGGCAGCTGCCCCCAGAGCAAAAATGTTAGGCGAGAAGGGAGTAAGACAACTCTATTCCATAGGAACCTGGAGCCAGCTTCCTGTCTCAAGAGAAGTGGGCACTTGCTGGGAGCGGCGGCCCTGCCATCTGAGAGGTCAAAGGCAGATTCTCTTCGGATTTTCTCTCGTGTCTAAAGTTTCTGACATCCTTTTCTAGGACCAGCTAGGCAATATGGGAAATGACACGGGTTCGGCAGGATAGGCATGAAGGGGACTGAGTGGGAGAGGGGGGCCGGGGACTGGGGGTCTCAGAACAGCATGATGAGCTTAAGAAATGATTCTGAAGAGAGGGGTGTTCCCAAGAGCACGTGGTTGAGATAGCTGGACCTTCTGTGAAACCTGAGTCTTGTGGACAAAGAGGACCACTGCCTTCTGGTCTTGCCCCTGCTGCTAGTCTGACCAGATGGGAATCTGATTTGCTGAGTGTCAGCCTACAAAGGCAGGACACAGAGCCAAAGCCCACACCACCTACCTGGAGACTCAAGGGACAAACTTGTGTTCACTGCCTTCCTTTCCTTCCTTTGTCTCCTTCAGCCAGCTCGCCCCAATCTCTCCTTGCCAGCCCAGCTCTCCTCGCTAGGTTCCTGACTGGCCTTGGCTGGGAGACACTCCTAACCTCCCCAACCAGCTTCCCTTTCTGGCTTCAGGCTCTGGGACTCACAGAAGGAGAACTCTGTGTTTTCAAGGTCTGACGGGAGGAACAGGGGAAGCCTAGGAAGGCAAGAATGGGAAGAGGCATAAAGCCAGAGGTGTGAACACTTGGCCGCCTGAGAGGACTTCCTTCTGGATTAGACAGAATTAACTGTGGGTGTTGATCTGTTTGAAGAAGGCAGGTGAGACTGGGACACAGGGTAGGCGGGGTGACCCTCAGTGCTTCGGGGAAAGGAGAGAGCATGGTGGGGTGGGGTGAGAGGGATCTGAGGAGGGGGCCCCGACATACACCGAGGGTTCACAGTTGGACCTATGGAACAGTTACCTCAAGTTTATTTACCCAAACCTGCCAACTTAGTTCACTCAGCTGCCTCATTCTGTCTCCCTCAAATTTTCCCCCCAAATACCACCCCAGATTTTT